CTTCCTAAATGTCTTTTTTCTTCTCTTAACCTTCATGCTTAAAATCTGTATTAAAAATGCCTTTTATCAACAGTCATCTCTGAATTGTTTCTGCAGCACTACCAAATGGCAGGCAAGAAGTGCCCACTGGTTAAATAATGGAAGTCTGTCACAGGAGTAACCAACTTCTTTCTCATTGTATTTGAGGCCTGCCCGTTGGGACATTACTATGCCAACATTATAATTACCTGAACAAATAAAAGCCTAACTCTTAAATTTAGCTTTTAAAAGTGGGCCCAAACTCAGAGAACACTCATTCCCCTAGAGATCTCTTGGAACCATCTGTCTCCTGGAATTGTGCTGATGGACAGTTGGAGTTCTTGTTGGAACTCTGTTCCTGGAACTGTGTCTTGAGTCCAGCCCCACTCATTTTATTCAAAATGCTTTCTCTAGCTTCAATTGGGGAAGTACAAGCTTGGCTCCACCCTATTCTTAGCAGACCCTCTGGCCTTTTTGTCCTGAGTTATAGACCTTTTCATCAATTCAATGTTTCACATCCTTTCCAATCTCCACTGTGTCCAATGGATATGGGTGCCACCTTTCAGCATTTTGTTAATTCTGAAGCATACCCACATCCATTCACTCATTCATTCATTCATTCATTATCTTTTTGGGTGGAGTACCAAACTGAGGTTGCTTAGGAAATGACATCAGGTACCAAGGTCACGAGACATTGTTTTGCTGGGGATAATTAACTCATTAGTCCAGATTATGGCCATTAATAAGAGTCATTTCCACACCCCATGGAAGAGAATTTGGGCTTGTACTGTAAACCTGGTCAAAAGACTGTGGCTTAGCCAGTGAGAAGGCTTAGCAGGTAAAGATACTTGTCATGTAAGCCTGATGACCAGTGTTTGATCCCTGAAACTCATAAATGTGGAAGGAGAGAACTGACTCCACAGTTGTCCATACATGAGCTATGGCATGCCTGTGCCCCCCTCCATATTTCATGCACAAATAATAATATTAATAATATTAATAATGATGATGAAGAGGAGGAAGAGGAAGAGGAAGATGAAGAAGAGGCAGAAAAGGATGAAGAGGAAGAAGAGGAAGAGGAGGGAGTAGAAGATGTAAAATTTAATTCAATAAAAACAAATTTTAAAAAGAAGTAAAATTTAAACGCCTGTGGCTGGAGAGGTCATAGGCCCTTGTGAGGAAGCTATGGTTGTTGTTTTGCTAAATGGACATGATGTGCCTATCAAATTGCCTTTCTAAATAACTATGTTTATTTTTCATAGATTAGTGCTGCTGTCAGTTTTGGTTAGAGAAGCTTCTTTTTCACAGTGGGCAGCAAAGACTCCTAACTGGTCAGAGTGATGAGAGTAAGTGACAGTTGAACGCTCAGCCATAAATGGGCATCTATATCACCCCCTCCAAGGCTCAGGGAACATTATGGAAGAAGGGGAGAAAGAATTTAAGAGGGAGAGGAAGGGTAAGAGGTGTGGAACACTAACTTCTAGGACTGATGTGACTGTTGCACTCTTGAACACAGCAGTTATGACTACATGTGAAAGCTCTGCACACCAGCACCCTGCCATGGATGTGGGAAGGGCTTGCTAGGCCCTGATCCTCTCTGATGATTTTTTTTTGTCATTTTGAGACAGGGTCTCCCTGTAGCCCCAGATGTCCTGGAACTCATGTAGACCAGGCTGGCCTTGAACTCACAGAGATCGCCTGCCTCTGCCTCTGACTGCTGGGATTAAAGGTGTGTGCCACCACGCCTGGCTTTGTTTGTCTTTTTAAATATGGCCTGGCCCAAAATATCTTTTAATAAACCCTAACTCTGCCTCATTCTGGCTAACCATGAAATCCTTTCTGGGTTGAAGCCAAGGATTTGGTTTTACCTGAGTAGAGGTTTCTAAAATATAAGGAAACTCATCAGGCTGTAGTAGGCAATCTGAAAAGAAAACAGGGATCCCAAAACTAAGCAGGAACCAGTATATTATTGTACTAGTACAGTGACCCACAGGGAGAGATTTCTCTAAAGCAGGGCCCTAAACTTAAAAGAAGATTCAGCCTTTTATACTCTCCCATATATGGTAGCGCACATAATCCTGGTTGGGTGCTCTGGGCTACAAGGTCATGACAGGCAGAACTGTGCACATGCACTCAGGCACAAACCAGATGTTAGGGTTCCAAACAGCAGCAGCTTCCCCCCTCCCCAACAGGGACCTACAGACTTTGGAGCTCGAAAAAGGGAACTTAGCTGATAAGCACCTTGACCTTTGAAGTCAAGGGAAACAAACTCTGCTGAGAAGCAGCCTGCCTTTCCTCTGACCTCCAAAGATAGGATAAGCAGATTCTACCTGATAACCAGAGATTTTAGAAGCTGTTTTTCTCTTATCTTAAGAGGGAAAAAGTAAACACTTCCAGACCCTGATCCTACCTGCTTTTCCTGCTTCCCCCTCCCTGATTTCTCCCCCAAACATTCCCCCTTCCACACCCTAAAGCCCCCATATATAAAGTCCCAGCTCACAGCCGCTCACAACCCGTGAGCTGACATCTTTCCCTTCCCCAAGGGAAACGTGTCCCGTGTGAAATAAATCTGTATCCTGCTGAGAATTCTATCTGTGCCTCGGTGCCTCCTCCATCCATCTGCGCTCGCTCTCTCCCAACATTTTTACCTATCACCAGACAGTTGTGTCTGTTCCTGTCCTCACCAATAATTAGACTTCAAATTCATTTAACAGAGTTGAGCAAAATATTTCATTGATATTTGTCTTCTATGTACATTTCCAACTTTTCATGATCCTGTATCTTTTTTTCTGCTACAATTTTTTTGGTAAAGATAATCTAGTATACATTTGTTTTCTTAAAGTTGATGGCACTAGCTGGGCATGGTGGCACACGCCTTTAATCCCAGCAGTCGGGAGGCAGAGGCAGGCAGATCTCTGTGAGTTTGAGGCCAGCCTGGTCTACATAGTGAGTTCCTGGACAGCTGAGGCTACAGGGAGACCCTGTCTCAAAAAGACAAAAAAAAAAAAAAAAAAAAAAAGTTGATGTCACCATGTTTTGCCTTTATTCCTGTTTCACCCGAATTCCCTCTGGGTCTCCTGCACTATCAGGCAAACCATATAACATATCTTTATGTGCATTTATTAACTTACAAAGGAATGAGTACCCAGTGCCTAGCCCTGTGCCCCATGGCTCAGAGCCGGCCATGTCAGACTGCGCCACGCCCATAGCTTTCACTCATGCCTCCGGGGCAGTGATCTCACCCCACACCATGTGAGCTACTAGAGGCTCAAGGGCTTCCGTCCCAAGATGGCTCCCAGCAGCAGCTCCTAGGTCCACATTCTGCTGCAGGCCCCACCCATTGGAGGAACTAGCCAACTGGGAGACATCCTGTTTAACTTGAACCTCTTGCAGAAGTGACTTGGCTTGGCTGCCTACTGCCATGGCCCTGTAGTTGGGACAGCCTCCCTGCCTCTCACAGGCCGGAGCACCATTTTTTTTTAAAGGTAGGTCATGATGTACTCCAGGCTGGCCTTGAATTAGCTATGTAGCTAAGGATGATCTTGAACTTGTGCTCTTTCTGCCTTCACCTCCCCAGTGCTAGGATTACAGGCCTGGGCCACCAGGCCCAATTTGGGCTGTACTGGGGCTTTCTGCATTCTAGGCAAACATTCTACAGAGCTACATGCTATGGACCTAAAAGCATAACTCTCACCTCAAAGGGGATAAGAGATAGTTTCTTCTGGAGCAAAACATGAGTGACCATGGTCTGGGAATACAGATTTAGGTTACCCCAAATTCCATGTTCCAGCATAACAGTTACATTACTTCTTATAGTAACAGAACAAAGAAAAGTCATACATCAAGACACTTTACAAATACATTGGGGGATACAATCAGTAGGCAGGTCATAGCAAAGGGAGGAGTTCCTACTACAGGTCTCAGATGCTGTCTGATGACATTCTTAGCTTTTTATTTGTGGCTTTTTGATTGGTGAGATCTGGTGGTCTGCATTAATATATTTTATTAGTCACAGGAATGTTAATGCAGAAACAGAAGTTGACACGGTGTGGCTGTTAGATTTAGGAGAGCAGAAAAAGGAACTTTAAAGTTAAGAATTAAGAACCAGAGCCAGACTTGGAACAGGTAAGGAATATGTCTCTTTTATTCAGGAAAACATAGCAAAGGCTGGTGCTGTCCATGGACATGGGCCTCTGCAAACCTAAGTAGAGCATTTGGGATTTTACATAGGACCTCTGCTGAACGCAGCTGTATTTGCTTGGTGTCAGATGTCAGATGTCAGATATCAGCATCCTTGCGGTACTTGAGGGTCTCCTTCCTGAGGATATTTTCTGAGGGTGAACAGGCACCTTATCTTTTGGCACAACAGGTTGATTCTGCAAGTCTCTGTAGTGATCAGTGATAAGGCCAGGCTGCCTGAGCAGGCTATGGCACAGTAGGAGTAAACAAGTCTCTGTCAGCCAGGGAAGTGACCAGCTGAAAAGGCCAAGCCTCCAATTTGGGCCATTTGGCTACCTTGAGGAATTTATGTCCTTATGGCTTCTTTAAGGAAGCTTATGACGCTTTTGCAATTTACACATTCTATCAGTGGCTATTTATCGGGTTAAAGATGTCCCCAGATAATTTGTGAGTAGGCTCTCCGCAGTCGTTGAAGTGTTATTAATCAGTTGATCAGCTTTGCAGGAAATTCAGCTCAGGATGCAGGCATTTCTTTAATGTTCAGCCCTAATTCGGTAATCTTTCCATAGCTGTATTTTATTTTCCCTTAAATTGTCGTTCCACGTAGTTTCATTCTCCTTCTTCAGTTCTACCGGATTGTATTAAAACCCACTTCCGTTACTGACACGTGATCGAAGACCTCAAAGATACAGCCTCCTGCTGACAGAGAAACAGGTTAGGCTGCTGTAGAGAGGATACTGCAACTGAAAGCGCCAGCAGGCCTCTGGGAAATGTAGTTCTGCACCCACCTTTCCGCCCTCTCCACCAGATCCGCCGGAAGGGCGAGTCGAGACCCGGCGAGGGCAGTGTCATCCAGTCGCTCCGCGCCCTCTGAGCGTGCAGAAGCCTGGGGCAGCCGTACAGCATCTCCGCAGCCCAGGTGGGTGTTGGTCGGGTTGGGGCGGGGCGGAGCTCTTGTCCTTCTGCCACGTACAGGGCATTCTGGAAGTGTAACGGCGTGTCTAGGAGTTGTGTATTTCACAGACTTAATTCTAGTTAGTAAATAAACACTTGGTGGAGACTGTTAACGCTCGCTAGAGGATGCTAAGTTGGTGTATGCAGGCATTGGCACCGTGGGGCAGCTGTATGGCTGTGATTACGAGTTTGCGTTGATGTCATTTAAGAAAGGCTTACACCAGGGTTGGGCATTTTGGGGGTCCCCAGGCATTTTGTAACTAAGGGTGTTCTGCAGGATCAGGAAGAGAGGAACAAAATCTCTTGCGTGTAACTGACTAGGTGGACAAACTGTGGGTCCTAGTGATTGGCATCCTGTGCCTTGGCTCTTTAACAAGTAGGAGCATGGAGTTGAATGATTCTGTGTTTATGTATATTAATGATTAGAGCTCTGAAGATGGTTAGTACTTGACTACTGAGTGATCAGAATCTGTGAGGAGGAATGGGATTGGAGGTTTGATGAGTGATTGGCATGCCTGTATGACAGGTGACATATATGGAGTGAGACTTTGGGGATTGTGTGGTATTATTGAGAGGGAAGGCTGTGTTTGTTGGAGGGAGGGGAGTTCAGTGGCTTCTTTGCAGTGTGCAGCTAGTGAAGTAGAATTTTAGAAATAAGTGACCTTTAGGGTGTTTGTGGTAAGTGGTCTGTGGAGTCTGTGTTTATTTCTGAGGCTGGCCTTTGTAGAGCCATCAGGAGTCCTGGACTGAGAGCTTTATCAGATGAGTTATTGGGTAAATACACAGTGTATGAAGGCAAATCAGCCTAACATAGCTGAAGGAACTGACCATCTGCCCCCCACAACCGTCCCTCCCCCCAACTCCATGAGGGAGATACATCTATTTCAGAACACATGGCCCCTGGCTGAAAATCTGGTTCCTTATCAGAACTTCTCATCTCTCCCTCCCTCCCTGATCCCAGGGAGGAGCATGACAGTGCCCAAGAAGGCATGCCCCACCTTCTGAGATTCTGGGAAGGCACAACCCCCATTCTGGGATTTTCTGGACCCCCTTTAAATTCTAGACCTCCCCCAACCTCGATACCCCCAACTTCCATATCCAAGGGAAGGCTGCTTGCCCCTCTAGGTAATAAAGCTATCTGCATCTGTTGAAGGTCGGATTCTATTTCTAATTCTTTATCACATCACCTCACCCCAAATCCTAACAGTGTATACCATTAAAGACCTTGCAGGGTGGCCTGTTGGAGAGAAATTGAGTGGCCTGTGCAGTCCAGTCAATAACTTTGTTGTCTAAGGATAAAGTGGGGACACATGACATGAGAGTGGAATATATAGGCCTGTTATTTAAGGGCTTCTGAAAACTTGTGAAGGGGGTTTTTGGGTTTAGGAACCTGGAGAAGTCTTGAGATGTGGAGTTAAGAGAATTCTCAGTGTCTGGTTGAGGGACATGTAAGGTTCAGCTTGTGGGTGTGAAGGTCAGTCTAGATCTCTGCTGGTCACATACTGCCTCAAGAAAGTCTGTCATATGGTGGCTTCTATAAATTATTATGGTACTTTTGTCTTGGCCCAACCTTGTGTGATTGTTGAGGAATCACATGACTATTTTACTTGACTATTTCCTCTTTTAAAAGTTCTTAATATTAGGGCTGGGCATGGTGATGCATGGCTTAAATCTCAATACTCAAGAGGCAGAGGCAGGCTGATCTCCTTGAGATCAAGGCCAGCCTGGTCTACATAGGAAGTTCCAGGCCTAGTACATGCTGTAAACCTAGTACTAGGGAGTTGGAGGCAGAAGAATTAGGAGTTCAAGGCCATCCTCATCTATATAGTGAGTTTGAAGCCAGCATGGGCTATGAGAGACTCTGTCTCACAGAAGAAATTTTTATTTTAAAAAATAAGAAAAATTCCTAGTGCTGCATTGGCTTCAGATCTCCTCTTCTACAGTTTCCCCACTGTCTGCTTTCTCTCCAATCCCATTCAGTCCTCTGTCACTGCTGGTCCTTGGTTGATGTGATCTTTTCACAGTCTTCCACAGCTGAATGTTTTGAGACAGATATGTAGAGACTTCAATCACAACCTTCTCTATATTGTTTGAGGCACAAAGAAAGACAAATCAAAAATCTCTTTCCCTAAATCTGTCTCGATGTAACTTACTCTCTAGAAAGGGTCCAACTGACCTCGCTGCCCTCACTGAATCTTCTTAGCTAGACTGTTAGCCCCTTACCTGTGGAGCATGAGCTATGGGTTTTGCTATACCTGCTTCATTCCTAGTAGTTTTAAGGTAGTCTGCCATCATTCGCAGATTACCTGAGCACTCCCTACAGGTATAGGTTACACATCTGAGACACATTTTTGTTGGGAGAATTGTTATATAAGATAAATTTTCTATTCTTACCCCTGAATTTCTGAGGTAGGAGGAGTGCTTTTGTTTGTTTGGGTTTGGTTTTTTCTTTTTTTGTGTTTTACATTTCCTTTCAGGTTTATTCTTATGAAGAAAGTAGTATCCTTGGATGACAGTACCCTCAAAGTCTTTGGCTCTGATTCTGTGTCTAGTTAAATGTAAGTGAGCTAATCCACAGCAGTGAAGAAACATAAATTATGAGTACTTGTGTACATCAGAATGTAAATTTTTTTTGTTATATTTATTTTAAGTCCTCTTCATGCTGGGTATGTTTACTTGACCTGATGAGGCAAGTGGCTTCAATATGGCATTTGTGGCTTGAGCCAGGGTTCTTTTTTTTATTTTTAATTTTTTTATGTGTTTGAGTGTTATGCCTGCATGTAGGTAAGTGCACCCGTGTTATGCAATGCCCACGGAGGACAGAAGAGGATACCCCAGATTTGGAGTTACAGACAGTTGTTAGGTACCATGTGGGTGCTGGGATTCAAACCCAGGTCTTCTTTGAGCCAGGGTTCTTAAGGGTAGAATGTCATACAGGCCTGGCCTAGATGTGGCTCAGTGAGACATACCAGGAGATCCTATTCCATCTTGGTTCTTAGCACTATTGTGATTAGACATCTAGTATGAGGCTTTAAAAGATCTGAGTTCCCACTCGGAAAAAAAAACAAGATTTACATCTCCAACCTAATGACATCATCTAAAATAGCATTTCTGCTACCTCCACAGGCTACCATTCTCAGGAATAAAACAGTTCCATGAGACAAGCAAAGGAGGACTCAAGAATGAAAATGTATTCTTACTTTCCAGACTTTTGGCCAGAGATTGCTCTCTAGAATCAAGTCATAAAGCAGCAGGTTTCCTAAGTGTAGCAGAAGATGACTGAGTCACAGGTGAGTTATATGTCTATATCCCCTAAGCAGTTTTTCCCCCATGGAAATGATGAAGCATACACACACACACACACACACACACACACACACACACACACACACACACAACCCTCCCCCAGAAGAAATTCAACAGAGGTGTTTCTGAGTATCAGGTAAAAGTCTATAATAAACAGTCTGCTAGATGTCATAGTTCTCTTTCCTAAAACTAGAAGTTGGATGTGTAATTAATAGGAAAAGTCTAAAATTTAGACTCTAAATAGATTTGAATCCTAGTAAGAGAAAATAGAACAGAAGCAGTCAAAAGCAACATAAGCTAGATTACAGAATCATGCATAAGTCTTCAAGTGGGAACATAGGTACAGAAAGCAGCCTGCTTTATTGTCGCAGAGTTGAACAAGCTTTTCTCATATACTATCAGAAGCCATAATGGAGAGTGAATAGGGCGAAGCAAATATTTTTGATGATTACACAAAAGGAAAACACTTGACAGCTATTTAAATGGATAGCCTAGTGGCTAAAGTCCTAAATAGTGATCCTATAATAGCTAAACATATTTCTTCCCTGAACTATTTACCAGTTCCTTGATGTAAGCTTGAATTTAAAGAATTTGGAATTTAAGAAACTAAGATAGGAGCCTTGAATACACATTCAATTTAGAAGAACGAAGGAAGGGTGGGAGGGAGGGAGAGAGAGAAAAAGAAAAGACTATTCAGTGCTCAGTCTAAACCCTCAGGTAACTCAGAGAAGGCAGCATTTCTTTCTGTTCAGGGGAAGAAAGCTTTTAGAACCACGTTTAAAAATTTTTTTAAATCATTGTTCTTTGACCTAGTTTCTTTCTTTTTTATGGTTTTTTTTTTTTTTTTTTTTTTTTTGAGACAGGGGCTCCCTGTCACCCCAGCTGACCTAGAACTTGCTATGTAGACCAGGCTGGCCTCAAACTCTGAGATCCACCTGCTTCTGCCTCCCAAGTGCTGCGATTAAAGGTGAACACCACCACACCCGGCCCATGACCTAGTGTCTTAATATTATCTTTCACTAATCAAATGCTAAATTGCACCTTTGGATTACAACTTTATGAAAGAAAGGATATCCTATTAGTTCTACACTCCTGGGGCTTGCTCTAAGCTTTTCTCTTTCTGTATCCTTTGTCCCTATTGAGGCTAACATTTTAAGCATTTTCCAATTTTAAGTATAATATGGCCTCTGCCTACCTCTCAAGGCTTTTGTTTTCACTTTAAGAGCCCAGGATTCTGTTTTAGAAGATATCTAAAAGGACTATCTATTTGTTCTGCTGGGAAGAAGAGAGTGTTTGTAAATATATACATATGGCTTGGTTTTGAAAGTGGCTAAGAGGTATGACTGATGTTTAGCAGGCAGAAACCAGGCAAGCTGGGAGTCTTGTATGATGAGGCAGTCTGACTTAGCTGAAAAATTGTTCTCAAGTACCAATGACATAATGATACTTTGCAGGGGGATGGGCAAATGTCTTGCTATATAGCCAAAGCTGACCTTGAACTCACTCTCAGCCCCCAGCCTCCCTAGTAAATGAATGTATTAGTTACTTGTCTGTTCCTGTGATAGAACACCAAGACCAAGGGAACTTATAGGAAGAATAATTTATTTGAGCTTACAGTTCCAGGTTCCAGAGGGCTTACAGTCAGTGATTGCAGGGAAGCATGGTAAGGTGGCTGGAGCAGAAGCAGAAAACTAAGCACTCACATACTCAAGTAGGCATGGGAAGCAGAAAGTAACTGAAAGTCCAGCAAGGCTTAAGATCTCTCAAAACCTGCATGCTTCTTCAAGCATGGTCACACCTCCTAAAGCCTCCTAAAACAGCACCATCAACTGAAGAGAAAATGTGCAAATACTTGGAGCCTATGGGGGACATACTGAAGCCACCACAGTAGGATTACAGATATGTGCCACTACATCCAGCTCACACTACTATATATATTTTAATGATATATTTCTTCAAAGGATAATGCAAGATTAGTATAGTATATCATAGTATGTATTCATCTCTGTAACTAATTGTCTCAAACCTCAGTAGCTGAAAATAACATCTTACAGTTTCTGTGACTTAGAAAACTTTCAGATGCTTACCTATTTGGTTCTAGATCAGAGTCATGATGGCACATACATACATTCAGATGTCCAGAAGGACATCCAAAGATGCAATAGCAAAATAATCTAGAACATACACCCTTATAATGCTCAAGCCTTGGTTCCTTGCTGTATGTGCCTTTCTCACAGTGTAGCTGCTATATTCTCCTGGAGAAAGAAGGAGGGAGGGAAGGAGGGAGGGAGGGAGGGAAAGATGTCATAATTTCTTATAATCTAATCTTGGAAGTGGCATCCTGTCGCTTTGTTTCATTCTGTCCTATGGAAGGAGTAAGTAAGGTCAGCCCACAATTGAAGGCAGAGGGTATATAGTACCAAAGCTAGGAGTTAGAGATCACTGGAGCTGTCTTGGAAGCTATCTGCCATAGATAGAGAAGCAAGCTTATAGTCTGCAAGGTCTCTTGAGAATCCCTTCATACCAAGCAGGGATTGTGCTTTTCAGATATCATTTGAGGATGTGGCTGTGGACTTCTCATGGAAGGAGTGGGGCAGCTGCTTAACCCTTCGCAAAAGAACTTGTATGGAGATGTGATGTTGAAGAACTACAGCTGCTTCATTTTCCTGGGTGAGAACTTCTGTAATTTTTGTGTGTGCCTAGTAACCTGTGCCTCTGAAGTGTTTGATTTTTTTTTTTCAGTAATTTTATTTCACAGTTTTTGTAATAAAATATCCTTTATGTTTTGAGTCTCTCAGCTCAAGCAGTTGGGCTCAAACCCTGTTTCTAATGACAGCATATCAAATCATTAGACATAATGCAACATTCAAGCTGGACCAAGAAAAGCCATGGTCAATGAATGAGGAAATCTTAAGTCAAAATATTTCAGGTAAGAAATAACCAGGGATATTAGGAAGGGTGAAAATTAAATTTCACAGTTTTGGAGACAGATGAGTACATTTGAAATGTTGTTCATAAACTGTGTTCTTAAATCTTTTTTTTTTAACATTTTTATTTATTATTTTTATTTTATGTGTATGAGTGTATTGCCTGCATGTATGTGAGTGCACGTGTGTCATGCAATGCTGCGGAGGCCAGAAGAGGGCGTCGGATTCCCTTGGAACTGGAGTTAAGAATGGCTCATAGCCACCATGTGGGTGCTGGGAATTGAACCTAGGTCCTCTGCAAAAGCAGCCAGCTCTCGACTGCTGCGCCATCTCTCCAGCCCCTTAAATACCCACCCCCCCGCCGCCCCAGAGCTGAGGACCAAACCCAGGGCCTTGCGCTTGCTAGACAAGTGCTCTACCACTAAGCTAAATCTCCAACCCCTCCCTTAAATCTTTTAAAAAATATTTATTTATTTTTATTTTGTGTGTATGAGTGTATTGTCTGCATGTATATGAGTGCACCTGTGTCGTGCAGTGCCGTGGATGTCAGAAGAGGGTGTTGGATCCCCCGGAACTGAAGTTACAGTTGTTAGACACCATGTGGGTGCAGTGCTCTTAGCCCATGAGCCATCTCTCCAGTCTCTAAAGTTCTTAAATCTTATACCAGGAGTGCTGGCACACACCTTTAATCCCAGGCCTCAGAGGCAGAGACAGGTGGATCTCTGTGAGCTCAAGGCCAGCCTGGTATACATAGTGACTTTCAGGTGGTCTGGGACTAGGGAGACCTGTCAAAAAAAAAATAAAAACACCCACAAACAAAAGTTCTTAAATCGTAAGCCAAGTGTCATGACAAAGGTCCCAGAGCAAAAAATATATATATATCTTGTGATTAAATAGGTGGAGTATTATGAGATATGGTGGAAGAGGTCTAAAAAAAAGCCAGATTATAAAGGCCTCCTAGAAATCATAGTAAAACTTTGAGTTTATTATTACCACCTTTAACCAGGTGTGGTGGTTGCATGCCTTTATTCCCAGCACTAGGGAGTCAGGGGCAGGCAGATCTCTGTGAGGTAGAGGCCAGACTGGTCTACACAGCTAGGGCTACAGGAAGACCCTGTCTCAAAAAGACGGGAAAAAAAAAAGTACCATCTTTAACCCTGGGCATAGGGTGCATGCCTGTAAACTAACCAGTCAAGAAGCAAAGGCAGGAAGATCAGGAGTTCAAGGCTAACCTCAGCTACATAGGGAGCTTGATGCCAGCCTGGGCTACCTGAGACTGTGTCTCAAAGAAACCTACAAAACTCCCAAATTATTTTTTATTTGTCCTCATAGCTCATAAAATACCTTGCTACAAACTCTCCAATAAACTCTGACTTTTTATCTTATAATTCTTGTGGGGTTTTTTAGATTTTACATTTTTTTTTTTTTTTTGGTCTTTTTGAGACAGGGTCTCCCTGTAGCCCCAGCTGTCCTGGAACTCACTATGTAGACCAGGTTGGCCTTGAACTCACAGAGATCTGCCTGCCTCTGCCTCCCGAGTGCTGGGATTAAAGGCGTGTACCACCACGCCCCAAGATTTTACTTATTTTTATTTTTTTTTGTGAGTGTTTTGCCTACAGGTATGTAAGTGCACCACATATGTGCTGGTCCCTGTGAAGGCCAGAAGAGGGTGTTTGATCTCCTGGAACTATAGTTAAGGACAGGTGTTAGCTGCCATGTGGGTACTAGGAACCAAACCCAGGTCCTCTGGAAGAGCAATAAGTGCTCTTAACCTCTGAGCCATCTCAGAGCCCATGATTCTTGTTTTTGACCTCCAGATTGTTCTTCCTATCCATGAATTGTATGAATTGTATCATTACTCACTTATGGATGAAACTTCAAATATTCATTTCATTCTCCTTCACATCAGCAGCACTGATTGGTCCCTCCTCCAAATTTCTGAATATCTGAAAATTAGGTAAGACTTTTATTCCTCTCCAAAAAAAAAAAAATTGTCCCACAGAAAAATAGTTGCTTTGTATTTGAGATCTTGCCAAATCTTTCATCTTGGGGAGTACTTCCTGGGAATGGTACGTCACAATTGCTAGTGAAGAATATCATCAAAATGTAAAGTAGCTGGGTGTGGTGACGCATGCCTTTAGTCCCAGCACTTGGGAGGCAGAAGCAGGTGGGTCTCTGTGAGTTCAAGGTCTGCCTGGTCTCCATAGTGAGTTCCAGGCCAGCCAGGGCTGCAGGGAGACCCTGACTCAAAAAGACAAAAAAAATTAAACAAATCTTTGAAAGATCATTTGTTGCATAATAGATAAACAGTTGCTCCCCCAAGATAGTGGACTAACAACAACTCAGAGCAATCATTTACCAAGTCTACCTTGAGTTTATTGGGCTTTCTTTCTTTCTTTTTTTTTTAAATCTCTTATTATTTTTTAAATTTTATTTATTTCTTATTTTTTGTGTATGTGTGTATTGCCTGTATATAGGTAAGTTCACCCGTGTTGTGCAATGCCTGCAGAGGTCAGAAAAGGCTGTCGGATCCCTGGGACTGGAGTTACAGACAGTTGTTAGCTGCCATGTAGGTGCTGAGATTCGAACCCAGGTCTTCTGCAAGAAAAACCAGTGTTCTTAACCTCTGAGCCATCTCTCCAGCCCATGAGGCCCTCTTTTAAATAATAAATGGGTCTGGAGAGATCATTCAGTACTTAAGAGCACCTACTGTTCCTACTATAGGACTCCAGTTTGGTTCCCAGTACTGGCATTGGTTAGCTCACAATTGCCTGTAATCTAACTGCAGGAGATTTGATATTTCTAACCTCCACAGACACCTGCAGGCAGGTTCACATACCCCCACACAGATATACACACATATATAATTAAAAATAATCATTTCTTATAAAAGAAACAAACAATGGTTGAGGTTATAGCTCTGTGATAGAACACTGGGCCTAGCTTGCCCAGGCCTCAGTACCAGAAAATAACAGTACAAAAAAAAAAAAAATTTAAATTGTCACATAGAAATCAATTGCATTTAAGAGGTTAAAAAAGCAGGGGCTGGAGAGATGGCTCAGCAGTTAAGAACTGCCGCAAGCCATGACTCCGTCCAGCAGAGCCGAGGAAAGACGACACAGACACTAAGGTGTGAGGTTCAGGCTTCTTCTTTATTACACACTTCAGTCCTTATATAGTTTGTTCCCAACAGCCCTCCTCCCAGCCAGGACCAATCAGGGCACACACACACACATGCAGCAGGCAGGCAGAGTGGCAGCTCATTGGGCCACGTAGCAGGGTCATGCTTGATGATGTCTCTGATCAGGCAGGCAGCACATGATCGGGCTCCTCCGCTTGTGCGAGTTGGAGTAAACAAGCAAGGGTCACGAGGCTTGGCAGCCAGCCAAGGGTTGGAGTCACGAGACTTGGCAGCCAGCCAAGGCACCATCTTTGGCTGACTCAGCCGCGCTCGCTTCCCACAATATGGGCATGGATTGGACTCGTATGGGAGGAGCTAGGGTGTAATTGTTGGGTGGCTTAAATAGATCAGACTCTGAGGTATTGGAGATGGTGGAAGCATTAATGATCACAGCAAGGGGTTTGGGGGGTCCAACCTTTTGGCAGATCCAGAAGTCCTCGGCTATAGAGGGGGCTGTTTGGTTTAGCAACATATGGGTAAGTTCTAGTAAGCTTAGCATCTATGGGTCAAGGTCTAGTTCTTCTCTATCCTCAGGAAATGCTAAGGGGTGGTAATTGAGTTTAGGGTACAGGGCTGTATAGGGTCTCTTATTCCCTGAGAGTTCCTGCCTAGTCCCTGTCCAGGCAAGAATCCCTGTTTTAGCATTTGACGAGTGATTATCTCATTGGGGCTGCACATCAGAAGTTTTATCTGAGATAGAATATCATGACCCCACAGGTTAAGGGGCAGCCCTGGTATGATGTAAGGCTTAACTTGGCCTGTATTTCCTTCCTCATCCTTCCAAGTAAGGATCTTAGAACTCTGCTTAGGGTGGGAGGTCTGGCCTATTCCTTTTAGATGAGTCATGGAAACCGTGCATGGCCACTCCTTAGGCCAGTGTCACTCAGAGATAATTGTAGCATCGGCCCCAGTATCAATGAGTCCCCTAAAGGGCTTATCATCTAGCCACAGGGTGAACATAGGCCTATCTTCAGTAACTTGTTGTGCCCAATATATCTCTGAAGGCCCAGGAGGCCCAGAGGGGGGGAGTACTAGAATGGGCATCTGTATTGGCAGGGAGTAGTAGGAGGTATGCAATTCAGTCCCCCTGATTAATTTTTATGGGCCCAAGAGTGGAAAGGGCTAAAAGTGCAAGTTGTCCAGTGAAGCTATTATCTATTATTCCCATGGCTATTTGGAGACCTTCCAAGAGCATGCCTCCTCTGCCTATTACATATCCTGTCAATTCAGGTGGAAATGGCCCAAAAATATCTGTGGATATGAGTTGAAACCCTAGTTCTGGAATTAATATTGTAGAGGTGGAGGCACAGAGGTCCAATCCGGTACTCCCAGGGATAACTCTGAGGAGGGAGCTAAATTCCTGATCTGTGCTGGTGGGGTGAACCTGATAGCCCCAGGGTTCAATCCCTTTGATGGGGCCAGGGGCTGGCCCCGTGAGAAGTTTCCCTGCCTAGGGGCTAGGGTTTTTCCTTCATTATCAGTTTTAGAGCGGCATTCATTGGCCCAATGGCACCCCTTTTTGCACCTAGGGCAAATGGTCTTGGGCAAGGAAGCAAATATCACACCAGAACAGGTATCTATAGAAACATGTACATATTTGAGGGTACCAAACTCTGGAATATGGGTAACATCCATTTGCCAAAGTACTCCTGGGCAGAGGCCTCGAGGATTAACCCCTACACTCTGTTGAGGGAGGACAGAAACACAAGATTTGTATTGCAGGACAATTTCTCGGGCTTGTTCCCTAGTAATTTTGAATTTTATGCGGAGGGTATTTGCATTCACATGGAACCTTGCATGAAAATCTGTTGCAGCTTGTACAGGGGTTTGAGTCAGGAAGATAAAGACAGCTCTAGTAGCATAATCAGCGATGGCATTGCCTAATGCCAAAGGCCCAGGGAGTCCTGAGTGAGCGCGAATATGAATCACACAAAAGGGAGCCTTGCATTGCCAAATTTTCTGCTGTAGGGCCATAAAAAGTTGAGTAACCTGGGAGGTTGGTTTTATAGTCCCCACATTCTCTAGTATCCTCATAGCTTGCACCACATATTGGCTATCTGAAAGCAAATTAAAAGGTTGAGATTCCTGGCAAAAGACATGTAATACAGTAGCTAATTCTGTTGCCTGTACTGATTCATAGGGAAAAATACGGGTGCTGGGGTTTTGGCCTTCAATATACACCGTTCCTACCCCACCCTTAGACCTATCAGTAAAAATATTAACTGCCCCTTCAATGGGGTTAGAGCACGTCACTCGTGGGTGAATTAATGGATTACGGCTCACAAACTGAAGCAAAGGGTGTGATGGGTAATGATTGTCAAACACTCCTGTCATACTAGTAAGCAGCACTGCCCATTCATCATCGCAGGCTGCTAAAGTCTCAATCTGTTTTGGTGTATAAGGCCTGAACCCGAAAGCATCTTCCAAGCCTTCACTGCTGCCTCATTAATCTGATTGTATACCTGCATTGGATATCCAATTTGGTTATTAACAAAATTCCCCTGACCCATAAGCATTTCAACATCCCAGGCAGGTTGGCCATTCCTGGCATTGGTTGCTGCAAGCTCTGTACAATACTCTAAGTAGGCTGCTTTCCAGTTCAAATAGCCTCCTCCTGAAAGGACTGCTCTGCACATATTCTGCCAATCAAAAGGAGTCATACAATTTCTTTGTAAATTTTCAACTTGTGTCAGCGTATATGCCGCCTGCAGCCCATAGGTAGCTACTGACTCCTTTAATCTCTGAATTATTTTCCAGTCTAATGGCTCATGTATTCTCTGATTGTTCGGATCCTGGAATACCGGGAAGGCTCCGGTTTGGGAAAATATCTTGCCCCAAACTGCAGCATGTCTACTTCTCATTCCTCCCCCCGCGTATGGCGGATCCGGGGTTTGATATAAGGGAGGCGCCATCGGCCCTAGTGGCTCCTCCTTTAGCATACTATTTCCTTTTGCAGCCTTATTAGCCTGTTTACTTTCTAAGGTCATGGCGGAGAGCAGACTCTCTAAATCCTCCTCCCCATAAAGCTCCTCCTCCTCTTCCTGTTCAATCCATAAGCTTTGCGATCCCTGTTGAGAGAGCTCCTCCTTCACTTCCTCTAAGGCTTGAGCCCCTTGAGCAATATCGTCCTGGTATTTCCCTGACTTGTCAGTGAGACATGTCCTCACCAGTGTCCAGACAGCTAGGGTCCCCCTAGAGCGGCAGCTGTGGGAGTCCGCATCCAGCAGGTCTTTCTCTGATCTTTCCCATGTAGGCGAATTTATAAACCCTTCCTCAAGAAACCATGGTGACACTACGACCACAGTATCTAAAAACTTCTCTACTGTTGCAGATTTAATCTTCACCCCCCCCCTTTTTTCAACAATTGAATCAATGCCGTTTCTACTTTCAATTTTGATCCCGCCGACCCCATCGTGGCACAATCTAGTTATAATTATCCGCCACAGAACTGTGGACGTTCAGACGTTCGAACTGTTAAGCTCCGTCCCTATTAGCTGGAGCCCATGCTGTAAGAGCGTTCTTTATAAAGGTTATTCTAAGTCTAACTTCGTCCCTGTCTCCGGGAACCAAACCTCGTCCCTGTCTCCAGGAACCTAACTTCGTCCCTGTGTCCAGGAACCTAACTTCGTCCCTGTCTCCGGGAACCTAACTTGCGCTACCCCTTCACCGCTACCCGCGGACCTTACCTTTAAATTTTCTTAGGCCTTGAAGAGTTCCCCGTACGGGCCACCACTTGCCGCAAGCCACGACTCCGTCCAGCAGAGCCGAGGAAAGACGACACAGACACCAAGGTGAGGTTCAGGCTTCTTCTT